CAAGTCATTGCTAAACTAAGGCCTGTAAATAAAAAACTACACGGTAGAATTTTTTTAAATTCAAGTATATTATAGAATTTTATATTGTCTAAGATATATCCAAAATTTAGAAAGTGCACAAAAATATAAATGATAGAAAAACATCGGCAAAGTTGGATGACTAAAATGCGCGTAATATAATCTTGAATAATTAAGTTGAGAATTTTAAAACAATTAAAAACATTAAAAAATTAAAAATTAAAAAAATTAAAAAATTAAAAATTATGCAGTGGCTTACGTCACTGCATAATTAATTTGGTACTAACAACCAAACAGAGTTTACTACTTTTAAACAATTTAGTAAAAAGTGAATTGTATTAATAACTTTTTGTTGACTCTCTAGATTTTGGATATATTTAAAAAAATCTTACCGTGTAGTTTTTTATTTATAAGGCTTTGTTTGTTAAAGAACCGGAATTCTTAACTTAATTATGCAAGATTATATTACGCGTATTCGTGTCACCTAAGTTTGTCGATGATTTTCTACAACTTATTTTTTTGTGCCATCTCCAGATTTTAGATATGTTATAGACAATACAAATATCTACATATGGCCAAGTTTATAAATTTTCTACCGTGTAGATTTTTATTTACAGGCCTTTGTTTAGCAATGACTTGAAATTCTCAACTTAATTATATAAGATCATATTATACGCATTCGTGCCTTCCGACTTTGACGATGATTTCTACAACTTATTTTTTCGTGCCACCTCCAGATTTTGGATATGTTATAGACAATACAAATATCTACAATATGGCCAAGTTTAAAAAAATTCTACAGTGTGGTTTTTTATTTACGGGCCTTTGTTTAGCAATGACTTGAAATTCTCAACTTAATTATATAAGATCATATTATACGCATTCGTGCCTTCCGACTTTGACGATGATTTCTACAACTTATTTTTTCGTGCCACCTCCAGATTTTGGATATGTTATAGACAATACAAATATCTACAATATGGCCAAGTTTAAAAAAATTCTACCGTGTGCCTTTTTATTTACGGGCTTTTGTTTAGCAATGACTTGAAATTCTCAACTTAATTATATAAGATCATATTATACGCATTCGTGTCATCCGACTTTGTCGATGATTTTCTACAACTTATTTTTTTGTGCCACCTCCAGATTTTGGATATGTTATAGACAATAAGAATATCTACAATATGGCCAAGTTTAAAAAAATTCCACCGTCTAGTTATATATTTATAGGCCTTTAGCCTAGGCCACACTACCGTCCATATCGACGAAAATTAGGACGAAAACTTCCGCAACGAAAATTTTGAAGGAAAACTCGACAAAAATTTCGTTTTCGTTCATATTAGAAGGGTTGAACTTTTGACCTTTTTCGTCAACGAAAACGCATACTATTGGCTAAAAATATTTTGATAATATCAGTATCAATATTCAAATGTGCCACCATCACTTTGACTACCAGCTTGACCAATATCTACCAAGTGAATTTGTAGTTTGCATCACAAACAGCTAAGAGAACTATGCTTTCCCTTTGCTTATAGTTGTGAAATTCTGATCCACTATGTTTCCCATCGATGCCTCCAATACAATTTGGAACATTCCACCTTTCAAAACTATAGTGTACACAAATTTTATACCCATGTCATATTTTATTGTATATAGCATAGTTTGATTGTAATTAGTTAGACTTTAGGAGGGCCACTGGTTTACCAAATTAACTAAATTAACATTCCACACGTCAAGCACTTACCCTTTGGCAATTTCTTTCCATTCTTCTGGTCCACTTGGTGCCTTCATATACCTTGGTTGAAGTTCACTCCATAATGCTTGACACACATCATAAATGATTGCTGAGACAGTAGATCTCCCTAACCTGTAGTGATAGGCAATGGATACGTGGCTTGCACCTTCTGCGAGATGATGCAGTGTGACTGCAAGCTTTAAATCAGGGCTAATAGACTTTCTAAGATGTGTGTCAACTTAGTGATGTGAGGTCTAATTAAATCCAAAATGTAGTCAAAATTTGTCGTCGTCATTCGCAAGTATTTTATGTGTCTATTTTCATTGTTCGGCTCTCGTAATTCTTTAATCAAGTTGTTAAATAGTCCAAGGCGATCACGTCGTTTATTAATTGGATGAATCCAGTATCGACGTTTGCTGTTGCTTGTTTTCAACTTTAAAAGCAGTAACTTTTTCTTAAGAAGTAATCTTTTTCTTTTAGAGATCGCCATTGTTTCTAATCCGTCAAAAATGCCGCTTGCTTATTGGCCAATAATGTTTTGGCTAAAATTTTTCGTCGTGTCTGGCATGCATTTCGTGCACGAATTTTCGTTTCGTTTTCGTCAATATAGACGATAGTGTGGCCCAGGCTTGTTTGAAAAATTACATGGATATAGGAAGTTAATTATATAAGATTTTATTACGAGCATTCGTGTCATCCGACTTTGTAGATGATTTTCTTCAACTTATATTTTTGTGCCATCTCCAGATTTTGGATATGTTTTAGACAATATAATTATCTATATTCTGGCCAAGTTTACAAAAATTCTACCGGGTAGTTTTTAAATTATAGGCTAATTAAGGGAAATGGAAAGTACACTGTGATATAAATCTTAGTGTTTTCTTCAATTTCTTGACTTTTATACATTTTTTGTGATGGTTAAGGACAGTAAAATAGTAATAAACAGTTAAGAATTGTTTTTACTGTTGTATTTGATAGAAAACGTGTTTTAAAGACGATTTTTCGATTTATCATTTTGAATGATAAATTTTAGTTGAATATGGTGATGAATGTTGTGATAAATGTTGTGTTGAATGTGGTGCTCAATGTGGTGCCAATTTCACGGTAGTTATTATGTTCACAGTTCACACTGATGAATTTTCATTATGGATACAATTGGTTATTTTTTAGTTTAAAAGCTATCCTCATGAAATTTAGAAATAGTGGCAATGGATGCAGCAGGTAATTTAGCATCTTCTAATTTGCTGTGGAAGGAGGCTTTGCTTAACTGTGCAGATAATAGGTGGTGCGGTTTCATTTGTTTATTGGCTTTAGCTTCTGTAACATCCAGAACTATATATTCTTACTATCCTGATTTTGATTTCTGCTCAGAAAAATTCCAGCTTTTGTTTAATCAAAGGATTGATCCCAGATCTCTGAAATCAGAACTCACAAATTTTGCTCATATAAGAATTTTATTTTGTTATGAAGGTTTACTTGATTCCTTTTCATCATTTCAGCACAATCATTATCAAAAGGGCTTAAGAGAAAATGCACTTTTCTTTCTTCTAAACCAAAGAAAAGTACAACTCTGTCCAAACTGTCATTTTTAACTTCTTGTTCTAAAACTCTTTATCCTCAAGGCTAATCAAGTGCAACCAAATTTGACGGGTCCATTAAAACACCAACATCATCCCTGTCATCATGAAAAAGTGATGCTATGGATAAATTTTACTCTTCTTTTTCTAGCCGTGCCCCTCTGGCATCTAATTCCACCTGTGATAATGAATTTGATGTTGCTTCTTTTAGGGAAAGAGTAAAAGGCATGAACAATTCTGAAATTGAGAAGCTTATTAAAAATGTTTTTATTCCAGATATTCATTATGAATTCCTTAAATCTGCTAATGGTAGATGGTTTCAGTTTGACTGGTTGCAAGATTATTCCTGGTTGTGTTACTCACCCAAATTAGATGGTGCATTTTGTCTTCCTTGTGTTTTGTTTCGACACAGATTTCTAAATAAGCTTGGTAAGATCAAAAAGCTTTTTATTGAACCACTTAGATATTGGCCTGATGCTAAGGCAGCTTTCAAACCCCATGAAAAAGCTGTATCAGGGCTGCATTATGACTCGGATGCTTTGTATAAGGATTTTCTTTACCGATCTTCAGGTAAAATGAAACCAATTGATATGTTGTCAGATTCTAATTTAAAAAATAAGATTTTAGTTAATCGTCGTAAACTGGCTTCTGTAGTTGACACGGTCATTCTTTCTGATCAATTAAATCTGCCTCTACGCGGTCATCAGGATGATTCCAAATATCACCCTCATTGCTATAGCCATTAATTTAAGCATTTCTTCATCTTGCTCTGTTCAGTCTGTTAGAAATCTCTTGGAAAGATTAAAAGAAGTCGTAAATTTTTTCAATTCTTCTGATACAAGGCTGCTTCTACTAGAATCCAATATCATCAAATATTGCCCATACTCTTTAAAAAAAAAGGTTGAAAAGTGCTTGCAAAACTAGGTGGGTGGAACGCATTCAAAGTCGTGACAAGTTTGAGGAGCTATTTTTGCCCATCGTTTTCACACTTAGGGAGATGTACTACAATCTTGAACGCAAAAGCAATGTAGAGACATCCAGCAAAGCAGGCCATCTCTTTCACTTTCTAGCTAGTTTTGAGTTCATTGTTTGCCTCGTGATAACAAGATGCTTCTTCGACCTTACTCTTCCTGTTACCCAATGACATCGATAACTATCATACTAGATGGTATAAAATTGCTTTAGACTTAGCAGCGAAGGTCAATGTTGAAGAAGGTAAGCCTCGTACTTGTCATCGACAGATAAATCGCAGCAACATCCCTGCTGACCGCACTTCAGATTACTATAAGAGATCTATCACGATTCCTGTAGTCGATCATTTAAATTTGGAGTTAGCCAGAAGATTTGAAGAATCTTCTACTAATGTTTACTATGGTTTATATCTAATTCCATCCAAATTAATTTCTTTTCTCTCTCATTCCACGTCTGGATGCGCACGTTGGCAGGATAAGTTCACTTTATTTGCTACCATGTTTACTGATGATCTTCCAAATCCTATTCCTTTGGATGATGAGCTTGAATTGTGGGAAACATATTGGAAATCTAAGGAGCAAGATAGTCTTCCTGATAATATTAGTTCAACCCTAAAAGACATTAACTTTCATGGGTTTGAGTATATCAAAGTTTTGTTGAGAATTTTAAGAATCATTCCCGTAACCTCTTGTGAGTGTGAGAGATCGTTTTCAGTTTTTAAGGAGACTTTCGATTTTGTAGCCAGCCAAGAAGGATTATCAATGCTAAAGTTTAATTGAAAGTTCACAAATGAAAAGGAGAGCAGTATTTTACTATCATAAATAGATATGTTTGTGTACTTTTATTGATAGAGAAATAGACGGGGGGTTATTAAAGGGCAAAAATTGGAAAGGGGGTGCCGTTAACTTAGAAAATTTTTTTCGAGGGAGAATGTCGATAAAAACTATATTTTTCATATTTTTTTGTGTCAGAGGTTGAAAACGAGAATCCTGTACCAAATATCAAGCAAAAGATCATACAATAATTTCAAATATAATAAGTTCTCTGTGGTACGCTTACCAATAATACATAAAGAATAAAACGACAACTGTTTGCCCAAGGAATCCATTGTTTTCTGAAGAGGAGTTTTTGGCGGCTAAAACGTGAAGATAAAAACTTTGTAGAGATGAAAATAAAGTCTAAAAAGACGTTCGCAAAATTTACATTCAATATGAATGCTACAATGATAAACACTAAAAACATGATATGAAACAAAATTTGCAAAAAGTGAATATACATTCAAAACTGCCATGTGAAATTTTTTTTATCTAAACAGATGTTGTGTTGAACGGGAAAAATCAGGTGAAACATGACATGCAAAAATATTTCAATTAAAAACTTTCCGCGTATAGGATTAACATGTATACATTGTATAAAATTTACAAACATAGCATGTGAATTGTGAACGTTACGTAAAGACATTTGTAGAGTAACTGATGACAATGAAGAAACCTCTTCAGCTTTCATGACTTTGAAAACTTCACCAAACTGCGTGTGTTCGCCAGTCCCCGTTACTATCCCCTGAAATATAATTTTCAATGAGTTTAATTAATTTTCATTCATTAACAAAAGCAAAGATAAAGTAACGACAAAAAAAGAAACTGGAGCGAAACCTTCTCACGGTGAAGATCTTCGTGCTCATTAAAATCACTTCATAACACACTTAACATACATTTCCACCCTTTATCACCCTGTACTTGACAATATTTAATTATGTGGAGCTCTCAGTACCGAGAAAGAGTTTGAAAATTTTCATCTTGTCTAATGCCGTCGTTAGCACTAAATACATTTAAAGAGTACAGTTTAAATTGTACGACGGTCTTAATGGTAAGGCCCAAAGGTCTTGACTTCTGTTTTTACCAACATAACAATAACATCACTTCAGAAAAGTTCATAAAGTTGAATACCATCCCTCCATTCACCATTTTATTTCATTTAGAAAAGCACAGTCCCCCCCTCCGGCTACACAAGAGTCCATCACAGACATAACGAAATTCACACCCTCTAAAGCCTTTCCTTCCTACTACAACTTCAAAAAAACTCACCTTTTCGTTTCCACAGTGAACCAATAAATGCTAGTGCCCATAAATGCTACATTTTTTTGCTCTGTAACCCTACTGTTTTCTAAGGCTTCTGGTATTGATGACGTATCTTTCCTCTGGGGTTCAGTTTCACCAGTGAAGCTCGATTCATCAATTTCAAGGTCTACGGCCTAAACACAACAAAAATATCACTGTGAGGAAGACAGCTTGTCTTCATATGGGGAATGAGTGAGGAATTTCACTAAAGTTTTCAAAAAGAGTAAGGAGCTATGTATGTTCAGAAGCAGTCGAGTGAGAAACAGCTCACCTCAACCAATCGCATATCAGCTGGTACACGATCACCAGTAGCTATGACAACAATATCCCCACAAACTAATACTTTAGCAAGACAGTTTACCAATGAACCATTCCTAAAGCTAAAAATATTACCAATTTTACCAATGACAGGTTGGGGGAACAAGTTTTTTGATTTCTTCTACAGATTTATCCGAGCGATATTCTTGGACAAATGCAACAGTGACGACTATCAAAACGGCCTAAAAATGAAATAGCTCTCACTCAGGGTGTCAGGACCTTAGTCATGAACATTTTCAAAAATGATTCTTACTTAAGTCACTAATTATAAAAACATAATATTTACTTACCACTGTACAGCTTAGAGCATCATTGTATTGTCCCATTATAATGCTTACAATTCCAGATGCAAGCAGCAGCAATATCATAGGCTCTTTGAACTAAAAATTTATACAAATTTCTTTAATTTATATACTTTGCTAGAGTGAGTACATCAGGAGTGATCTGATGTTGATTCTCGAGACTTCTTATACTCCAGTCTAGTGTCCTTTGAAGTGATTTGATGTTGATTCTCGAGTCCTTTTATACTCCAGTCTGGTGTCATTAGAAGTGATTTGATGTTGGAACTTGAGTTCTTTTATACCCCAGTCTAGTGTCTTTACCATAATTAATCTGATGTTGAAACTTAAGTTCTTATATACTCCAGTCTAGTGCCCTCATCATAAGTGATCTGTTGTTGACACATGAGTACTTATATACTCCAATCTAATGCCTTTATCATTAATCTGATGCAGCCACTCGATTCCTACTAGAAAAATCTTAACAGTTTAAAAATAGCCAACCAACCTGATCAAAATATTTTCGCCATATTGGAACTTTAGCTCCCGCATCAAATTCGTTCAACCCATATATTCTTGCACGTCTTTCGGCTTCAGATTTGTCCAAACCAGTAGATACATGAGTTACAAAGTCCCTTTCTACATCGTCGATGGACATGCTAGACACTTTTGCTGATGGTTTAAACGGCAACATTTTAATCTCCCCGGAGTCTTACTCTTACTATCTGTTTCAGATTTCGAAATCATTTAAACTGTACAGTTTTCGCAAGCGTCGCAGACGAGAAGAAACTGTTAGCGTGTTTTCATTAATTCAAAACAACTTAAACAAGCCACATTACAGAAATTTTTAACTTTAATTGTGATAAATTTATTCGAGCATTCTATTTGCAAACATCACAATGATGCCGTTCGGTACTTCATGCAAGTATTTTTATTCATAAATTTCACGCTCCCGGAGGGGAGGTGGCTATATCCTTCCAAAGAGCTTATTACCATAAACTATTATTTGTCTTCCGATCAAGCAGAATTTATAATATTAATAATTAAATATAGACATGTATTCATATTGCCTATAAAATTTTTCATACATCGTCCAATTCCGCGAAGAATTTAGCTATCAATTACTGTATAGGAAATACTTTACCATCTAAACTATTTTCCTTTTTCTCCTATAAACCCCACCACAGTGCAAACGCTCTCCCCTCCCCCCGGCAGTGAAAAACCCATCACAATCATGACCATCATATCATTCCATAGAAAAATCCACCCGTGCTATAGTTCATACGCGCATTTAAGTCCATATGATTAATAGTGAGATGTTCACAGATCACTTCAGTAGTTCACAGATTCCATCCAAATTCCGGAAAATAAGATACTATTGAAAATTTTGTTTAACGTTGAGAATAATTACAGCCAAATATTTGTATATCTTGGCAAAGTTCGGTGTTCGTTGATATTTAATGGTAAATTTTTTTATTGATATTTTTGCATTGATGTAAAAGATCCTTTTAGGAAGATTGTTTTCCTCTTGAACACAATACATATAAACCCATATATATAAGGATTTCTGGTTGTATTTCATAGTTGATACATCTTGACATAGAATGCACTGACTGACAACGTCAATCAAAACATGAACGACTTATTATAGAGAATGTAAACGGTCCATATAAAACATCCGTTTCCCAAAAAATTAATGCCATTTCCAACCACCCAATCTTTCTCCAAGAATGAACAAACAGTGAGTTCTTATTAATTGTATTCATACAAATTCTATTAGTTTACATCGAAGTTTTGAATACTTGGCTTTCATTTGAAAAATTGTTTTGATTTAATCACATTTTATATTACATACGTATGATCTTATTTTAATTACAAAAAATTTCTATGAGAATATCAAGTGTACGCTGCTTGAAATTTTGTGCAAAGTTATTCCAAAATAGGTGGCAGAAGTCTATTTTGGAATACTTGAATTTCTTTCTGAAATTCTTCACTAAATTAGTGAGCGAGGGAACTCTCTAGTTTAGTTAGAATATTGTAAATAATCTTTTATGTGCATGTTTTTGTGTTTTTGTGCATGTTTATGATCATCTGCAAACACCGAAGAATGAAAGTCGAAGATTTTGTCTTCTCGAAACATGCCTTCTTTAAATTCTAATATTTAGTCCAAAAATAAGGAATAAAAATTGGTTTAACTTACACCAAAAAGCGTTGCTTGACAATGACAGGTTATAGCAGGGGCGGATCTAGGATTTTGGATACCATAGGCAAAACATTATGACGTCATTCAGTGCTAAACCTATGACGTCATACTTTGCAAAACATACTACACTATTTATGCTTTCGATAAATTGTTTAAATCAAACAGTCTAATCATTCAGCTATGCAGAATCTTGTAGATCTCAATCGTGTAAATACATAAAAACATTGTATATTTATACTTACATATCACAAGGTCGTTGATTTTCACTATTCAGAATATTGAATGCACACAAGACTGTTTCGCCCCATATCAGGGCTCATCAGCATGCCTAGGAACACTTTAACGCAAAACAAAAAATCGTGATCCGGCATGGACAGCCCTGTGAGAGCCGAATTAAGCAGACTGGTTATGGCGCCAGAAGTTCGCCTACACACCTTTGAAAAGGAGTTTGGTTAGAAATGGGTGACTATATGGGATATTTCATGGATGTGATATTGCTCAATTTTTCACACCATCCCAGTCAATTCCAACCCTTTACCCCCCACCTAAAATGAGCACTCTGGTTTTTGAAGGCGCCAGAAACTCGCCTTTCACACCTTTAGCAAATAGCAAAAGGAGTTTGGTTAGAAATGGGTGACTATGTGGGACATTTCATGGATGTAAGATTGCTCAGTTTCTTACACCATCCCAGTCAATTCCAACCCTTTACCCCCTAAAATGTGCACTCTCATTTGCCAACAAATGAGCAGAATGTAAATGTAATGTAATAGTCAAAATAGAGCTTTGTATAAAGAGTCTTTGTGAAGACTAAAATTTGGTGTAAGGAAAAATTATTCTATTTATGCTTAACAATTTTTGTGAAAGTAAATTTATGTCGACAACGGCCGAGTACCATACACGTACTCAGCAGTTTTAAGATTGGAATGTATATAGGGAAAAAAAACCTTTATCGGGCGAGCTATTAGTTTGATGCAAATTCTATTGACGTTACTATTGTGTACAACGCACAATAAATGGTTAACATATGGACATTTCAACAAAATAAAAAACTAGGATATGAATAAATTCATGCAAATTTTAGCCTTGTATTTCCAACAGCAAAAGTATTAATAACCTCACCAATATCTGGTACAATTTCCTGATGAATTTGCATCAAGGCCAAACCATTTAAGCGTTCCCCAACCATGGTACTTCGCTGATAGTTTTTTAAGTGTCCTAAGGGAAGAAATAGATCGTTCACATTCACAAGAGGTAATGGGGAGCGTTCCTAAAATACGTAGTAAAATTTTAATGTTTTCAAATCCGGCGAAATGAACAGATTTTAAAGTCTGGGCAATGTTATCAGGAAGGAGGCCGCAGTGGGTCTCCCAATAAGTGTACCACAACCTAAGTTCAGCATCTAAGGCCAAAGGATTTGGCAAATCATCATAATAAAAGTTAGCCACAGTTTTGAATGGCTCTTTCCAATCCACCCCATCTCTTGTCATGGACATCATTTTCGTCGGTACAATGCTAAGGCCTTTATAGACATTCACACTCTCAAGGTCGAATCGTGATTCTAAAGAAGATTGCAAATGATCTAGTAGAGGAAGAGTAATTGCACGTTTATAATACTCAGAAATGGTTGTGTGGGAATATTTTCCTGGTCGTTTGTTTGCGCACTGTTCTTGGTTTCCATTCTTCAATGCCAACTTTGCTGCCAGTTCAAGCGCTTCGTCATACCAGGTGTCATGATAAAAATCAGAGGAATTCCTCATGTTCACCACCTCAGTTTTCAAAGTTGAAATTAAATGAATACCATCCATTATATCGATACTCTTACCCTGTAATAACTGTGTTACTGGAAGAGTTGAATCAAGAATATTTCTCGTGATAACTAAAGCAACGACGAAATCAAACCTGTCAATAAGTTGAAACAAAGATGAGGCATCAGACTGAAGCGACGGTTTGAACTCACCATCTAGATTTTCAGACATATCGTTAAGGGTGGTGTATACAGGTACAAAAAGCTCTTGGAATGTATCTAAACCTTCGATACGTTCTACCCATCTAGTTTTGCAAACGTCTGTTAATCTAGTCTTTTTCGAGTTTGTTTCTGAATTACGTATATGTTTTTCAAAGGGAATATTGCGAGTTTGGGAAATTTTAATAAAATTAGTGGCATTGTTAACATGTTTCAACATATCATTGACAACACGTATACTCAAAGAATCGCAAATGGATAAGTTTAACCTATGACTATAGCAGTGTGTATAAAGAGCCTTTGGGTTAAGCTTTAAAATTTGAGCTGCTAGACCATTAGTGCAACCAGCAACTGAACCAGCCCCATCATAACCTTGCCCCCTACAATCATCTATTGATAAAGTCAGTTCCTTTAGAGCCTCTAAAAGTAGCTTGGCAAGTTGAGCACCACTTAGTCCCCACTTACAAAAAAGAAATGAAATGAATTCTTCCCTGATATTCATATCGGTATCAACAAAGCGCAAAACAAGAGACATTTGTTCTTTATGTGAAGAATCAGATGCTTCATCAGCAATAACAGAAAAAAACTTACTTTTTTTGATATCAGAAATAATCTGATTACTGATTACCTGGCCACAACATTTAATGATTTTATTTTGACTTGTTTTAGAAATATAACTTCTATTCTTACCACAATTCTTTAAATGATTTTCTAAAACTTTATCCCCTCTCCTAACTCCATAATTGAGTGTTTCAATGAAATTACCAACCCTCCAGATGAATAACAACCAACAGTAGGGTGATACTTGGAATCATCACGATGCCCACGAAGAGGTAAACCTAGACGTCCACAAAAAATGACAGAATCAATAATTGGAGATAGTATTTCCCTATTCTGTTCTATTTCTTTCTTGATACCAGCATCCATGATCATCTCGATAGGCTGCAGAGTACCTGATATTTGGGAACGCAAAGCATCAAAATTGGTGATGTGGATGCATGCAAACCGACTTCCCTCCTTTACTTTTTCCAGCATGTTGAGTGAAAGAGCATTTAGCATTCTTCCAATCTTGAAGAGGTTCAGTAAACAACTTTTTACTTTACTGGCCTTGCCTGGGAATCTATTGCCAAAAACACACGATAGACAATACGCACCATTTTGTGAAGGTGAATAGCAAAGCCATTCATGCTGGTCTAGCCAATCATGCCTAAATGATCTGCCATTAGATTTAGGAAAATGATACTTTTTATCTGGTTTATATACATTTTTTATCAAATGACATATTTCAGAATTATCCATACCCTTAACTTTCTCCCTATACAAGGAAACATCAAAATTATGGGTTAAAACAGCAGGTTGCATATCACCAGAAGTTGGAATACCAGGCAATAGTTCCTGGGATGATGTGTGAAGCAAAAGACTATTGGCTTTATTTAATGTCTGAGCAAGAGCTGCAGCAGAAGAAAAACTCTCATTGGGCATCCTTTTAAAAGTTGGTTGGGCAGCAGGCCTATTAGTTGAAGTAAAAAAATTTGAAATGTCAACTGTTTTTGGTGCAATATTTGGAAAAATTTTGACAAATTTTCG